GCCCTAAAGGCCCTAGAATATGCAAAAATTGGATATCTGTCACCGGATCCTGAAACAGTGGAATGGAACCACTGTAATGTGGGATGTGTTGTTTGCCTGCAGTGCTGCCCGAAGGATGTGGTTGTTCATGGGATGGGTACCAACTGGAGTGGTGTCCTTCATGTTCATCCTTAGGATGCCATGGAACCCTGGTCCAGGCAGCTGAGGCCCATGGATGGCAGGTGCGGCGGCTTTTCTACCCTCTCAAGTATGTGACGCCGGATGAGACCGCTGACGCTATTGCTTCCTCTTTGGGCTTCGGTCCTCTCCTGTACCCTGAACTCTCATGTGAACCCTCTGCACCCCCCTTGGATCCTGTCACTGATGGCAAGGAGAAGGGAGACACTGAAGCACCCGAGGACCTCCGCTGTGACCTATTGAATGAAACTATTGACAAATCTTGRMCCTATCAAGCGGCTGGGGTTCGTGCAGGAAAACCCTTGCTGGGACTATAGGAGTACCCCTTGGTTTTCAGGGTTTACAGAGAACCCCTAACTTTGSCTATCAGACCTGACGACAGACCAGAAGATGTAAAGACGACTGCACATGAAGGYGGTTGGRAGRGACCCTGGGAGCTCACTACATGGGCCTCCCTCATTAAAGAGGTGATCGAGAATCAGTTAATCCCACTAATGGACCTCCCGCCCATCCCTCGAGGAGAGGGTCAGAATGTCTGACCTATATTACTACACCACCAACACTGATGCTTGGTTTCTGAGGGGAGCTCGCCCCGAGCAGAAGATTGCAACATACACGGTCACCTCTGAGGCGTGGAATCGCCAAGGAGTCCTGCAGAACCCCGGGACCGTGGCTCAGAGAACCCCGGTTCCCATCCGCCCTGATTCTACCTACAAAGTGCAAGTCGCARTTCAAATGGTGATTGTCCCCCTCAAAGGAGTTTACTCCATTGGAGCCACAATCACTGTTCTTGGACGTCATCGTGAGGTGGTCAATACAGCTGAGGCCCCTGTCCCAACACCCGAGGCTCCTGTCCCACCACCTCGCCGCCATTCTGGCTTGCTTTTCAGAGCCCTAAACCGCGTCCCCTCGCGGTTGCACAGGGTGAAGAGCGAGACAATTTAAACGAGTCTCCAGTGAGATGTACGGTTTCCCTCTCATTCGACTTATGACATCATTCTCTTTCCTTGGGACTGGATGTGGGATGATTGACCTCAATAATCCCGGGGGGGGGGGGGGGGCTGAAGATGGGGAAGGACTGGGTGTAGCCACACCCACCTCATAAAGATAAAAAGCATGTCTGTGAACTACACTGTAGCAGAAAGAAGATGGAAAGGATCGCCTACATGTCAGACCCAAGAAGACTCAGAGGACAATGATGGAGAAACCRACCTCACAAAAAAAACCTCCCAAACACAGTTGYGGCTGCAGCTGTAAAAAGAAGCCATGTCTGCAGACTGGCTTAAGGCTTTTAGCTTTGTTTCTTGCTGTTGCTTTGATTTTGTCAATTTTGACAAGAAGAGAGAGAAGAGAGAAGAGCAGCATATGGGTCCAGTTCCTTTCAAAATTAGCTCTGCCAAATTTAAATACCTTGG